CCCCAAAACCCCAAAACCCCAAAACCCCAAAACCCCGTTAGTCTTGATTCTAAGAAATTTTAGGATATTACTATTTAAGAATTTTCGGAAAAAATAATATCATTTTTCACAAATAGTCAATATTAACTGATATCACGCTTAAACTTTATTCTCTAACTTCTATTTTACTTTCTCAATTTGAGATCTTAATAATATCTCTAACTTCTTTTGAGTTTCACCGTCTATACCATTCTTAAGTGAAAATTCTTGTGCCAAACTAGTAGGTGAATCACCCTGGAAAACTATGATTCTTTCGTTCTAATTTTCTCCTAAATTGATGTCCACATAGAGCAGAGGTGTCTCAGACATCTTTTCCTGAATACGCTCTTACTATTCAAGTTAGGATTTCATAAAATTATCTCTATTCTTTTAAAACTCATTAAATGCCTAGTACTAACTCTTTGAGGGCTAGTTGATGTCACTGTTCATTGTGCTGCTACTGGCTGCGATTTTGCTTGTCTTGGGCTTTTTCAATGTGGGGGTATGTGACTCCTATGTTGGAGATCTTTCTCTTGACTTAAATGCTGATGCTGAATTACATCGAGATTTGAAGAGTCCATCGAATCCACTAGTATTTCTGCTATCACTTCTCTCATTGAGAATCTTCGATCCAGTTTACAATTGATTCATGCCATTAGTCGTATATCTAGAACTTTAGGGATTAAAAGCCATATGACTTGAGGAATTTATCCTATTGATAAATTTCCCATGCTCTAATGCTAGTTTTTTCAACTCTTTTTCCTATCTAGCTTTCTATAGTCTTTCTATTGTTTGCTAAGTTGCCTAAATGTTGCTATTATTTAAGGCTGGCTGGAAACTATCTATTCTAGGAGACTTTGCTTTTATCAGTTGATCTTTTGACTTTAATCTATTTGGCTAGAATGTGCATTCCTCCTTCTACCTCTCATATTCATATTCTTCAGGTGACTTATCTCTCTTCCATCTATATTTCTTAGCCTTACTCATTTCATATAGAGCTTCGAATTTACCTGAGTTAGTATTGAAAATTTTCTAGTTATCTTCTTTGATTTATTGTAGTTTAGGACCTTATGATTAATAATCACCTGGAAGATATCCTACTCTTTAAGTCTTACTAGTGACTTTATCTTAGCAATTAGATGCAATATTTCTAGAATTTTTACTAATATGCGGTTTGAAGGTACAATCTTTTATCTCCTCTTGCTACTTCATAGCATTAATCTAATTTAGTTTTCGAGCTGTTTATGGACTTTTCAAAGGTTGAATTAGCCAATCAAGAGGTGATAATTTCACATTAAACTCCTATTCTATTTTTAATCTTTTATTATCAGCAATCGTCAAAGAGTTAGTACTAACTTTAGGCTAGAATACATGCTATACCTTTTTAGATCTTTCGAGTCTTCTATATTCTTTAAAAAGTGCTTGATAATGAGTTCTATTAATACACAATTGGTAAAATTATTTTTAAATTTTAGGGCATTCCTAAGCATCTAAGAATAAATCTCCATGCTGATTAAATTTCCCATAAATAGGAAGCTTGGTAAACTCCTATTACTTTTTATCAAGATCAGAATCCACAAAACTCCCCATAATTGCCAAAAGAAATATTCTAAGATTATTTAGTGTTACATGGTTATTTTCAGGTCCTCCTAGAGCTCGCCACAATTCTTAAATTAGATTATCATGAGGAATATTTTTTTCTTAATGAACCAAAAACTTGAGATCTAAGAAGCCAAGATTAGCTATGAATTCCAAATAAATATCAAAGCTTAAAGTTTCATTGGCTTTGTGAATCTCGTCAACTTCTAATGATTTCCAAAGCTAGATAACTTCTTTTGTAAACTTTGAGATAAAATATTACTCAGATTTTTTATTGATAAAACTAGAGGGATTAACGGTCTGCTTATTTTCTTGAATTAACTACAATTTTCTGAATTTTCTTTCCTTATATTCTTCATACAATCTTACATCTCTACTATTGCTCCTTGATGCTCTTGTTGGAGTCTTTGATTGATCTTAATTAGATCTCTTACTTTTATCCTAATTAATTACTTCTTAAATATCCTAATGCTTAGCTTTAATTTAGTATAACCTCTCATAAACCATATGAGAAAGTTGATTATTCTACATTTACTTTTCTACCAATTTTTTAGAAAGGCTATTAATTGAAGGCCGATCGGATTTTTGCAAATCTATCCTCTGTAACACTTCTTTTTTTCTTCTCTCTAATTTCTCAAACTTCCTTTTTTCAGATGCTTCTTAATCCTCGATAAATTACTTGAGATCCCTATTCGGAAATTGATATTTACTTTAGCTTTTATTTGTCTATGGCTCAAAAGTGCATTCTTTCTCAACAGAAATAACTTATTACTCCTTAATATCAAGTAATTTTTTCCTTTTCTTATCTTCAAAGTCTTTTAGTCGTTAATTAAATGGTGATATTTCTTTTCTAGAATTATCCTTCCCAGTCATGAAACTCAAAGTATTATTTCCAGCTCTTGTTGTCTAGTTCCCTTAATATGTATTGGATAATCTGGATCTGCTATCATTTCTCTAACTTTGCTGATTATAAAAATTACTGCCTTTAGACGACTGAGTGAATCCATTTGGTGATGTATGTCCATAAACAACTTTATTATAGACTTTTTTTAAATCTCTTAAACTCAAGGGATCGCTCATTCCAAAACTGCTAACTGAAGTTGCTTAGTTGTTAATCAGTAATCGAGTTTAAGCTCTACCGTTTCCTTAAGTCGTATGTAAGGACTATTTTTGGATAGGTAAGGTAAATCTTTCACTTCTTTGTTAATTACTAGACATAGATCTCAACCTTGTTTGAGAGTTATTAGATTTTTCTCTTACAGCCTCTTACCTAGCAGCTTTGAATTAAGCATGCAATGAGACGTCCTTGGTAGTGTAACTTTAATATTCAGACTCTCTATGATGATCAAATTAGTTACCGCTGAAAGATTGCTCAATTTAATTATTCTGCTGGTTGTCGTTTGTATTTTTATTAAGATCTGCTTGTGATAATTTTCCGTGATGAAAGTGCTCGTACTCTTCATCACTTATCCGACAATCTTCCATTAAGTCGGAATCATTAATGTCCTCTGAGCGATTCTCATCATATTCTGGGATGTCCCCAAACTTCAGCTAGTACTACTAATTCATTTAACGTGAAAATTATATTTTTTTAAAGTTTGGTATATTATCATTCATATTTAAATTCCCATTAATTATTTAAATGCCCTTGTAGGGGTTTTGGGGTTTTGGGGTTTTGGGGTTTTGGGGTTTTGGGGTTTTGGGGT